AGTAGCTGGCTGTGCGACGAGGCGATGCATTATCACAAGTGGCCGTCCACACCTGCGAAATGGGTCACGAGTTTAACTTCACAGCCACCAAAATAGTCGCCCACGCCGGAAACAAAACAGGCCGAGAATTGATTGAAGCCTGGGCCTCGGATGAGAACTCGGTCAATCGATTTATCGATCTGGCGCCGACGTACAGAGCTCTGCGTAGTCACCTCCAGTCTTGCGTCGTCGGCCGATGATTGACCTACATGCCTTATAATTGTGGCTTGTTCTGTTGCTGCTACTATCTCTGACGACGGACTCCTGTACGAATCTGAAAGCTCAGGACAATAAACAAAGTGTTCCGGTGCTCGACTCCTCTTCTTCACCTGAAGGTCTGTACACGGAAACGTCACGGTTGTAAGCGGAGTAGGGTTCAGAGGCACAGCCAGGCACCGTAGAATTCAAGTCAAATCCTGCAGGCCCTCAGCCTCCGTTCAGCGGCTCTTCCTGCTGTTTCACCGGGGTGGGCCGATTCATCCGGTAACCGGGAGTCAAGTTGCCAAGGCTTTAACGCTGACAGTTCCCCGTCGTTAGGTTGCCATCCTCAATGACGCATCAACCATCACGACTGACCGTGGTGCTCAATATGAGCCTCACCTGGCCCTCCATTCCCCTATCCTTTTCGACTGCACGCGGATTCGGACGACGGCCTATCACCTGACTGCAAACGTTATGATCAAGCGGTTTCACCGCCTGCTTAATGTATCCCCACGTGCTGTGGTAGATCTGGGAAGCTGGATGGAGTACCATTCACTGGTTCTGTTAAGACCTCCACTCTGTGAGGGCCTACTCCCAAGTCGGACCTTGTCCGCTGCATGGTTGAACCAGTGATAGGCACCACCATCCAGTCCCTAGGTGAGGAATTTGTGTAAACCTTCCTTGGTGCCAGCACCGCCCCAGCTAACTTCCTTCTCGTCCAATTCTTTTTGACCCTCCTGCGGCTTCGCCAGAGTCGTCTGTCCCTAAGTCCTACCTCAAGAATGACCTCGTGACCCTCACTCACATCCTTCTTGAATGTGACCGGGGTACTAACCCCTTCGACCTCTGCATGACGGCCCCTTCAGGGTGATCTGATGAGATTCAAAGACGTTCCACAGCAATCATGCTGGTAACTCAACACGCCGTGGACGTCATGCCCATTTTCCTGGTCATCTTGTTATTTATGCAGTCAGATGTGGTTATGTGGCCGCACCTGAGGTAAACAAACCCCAAACACCTGTAATACGGGACCGGTGGTAATAGGGGCTTTTACACGTGGGGCCAGGGAACGCACAGACGATGAGGTCAAGTAATTGTATGCAAAAGAAAAGCTATTGGCAATGCGCGGTTGTACTCTGAGTGACTGAGAAATAGTTACGCTAACCCCTAACTGTATTGTGTCCATCAGGTGCGGCTACATAACCACATCTAGCCATTTATGCTTTTGAACGTGAACAAATCCCTCGGCATCGTTTTACACCGCCTTCGATGTCGAAGGAGGGTAATGCGGCAGTCTATTCCCCCATCGCGAGAGCCCCTTTCGTTCATTCCAAACGCCTGGTCAGTTAGGTCTACGACGGTTTTCAAGCTCTATGTTTCTCTATTTCAGCCTGTTAAAATGTGATTAATAATCTTTAGAATCATTTTTGTCCCTTTAGGGAACTGGCTATTTACTTTTTGATTTAGTTTCTGTTCTTTTTTGTATATTCCTTTGGAAGGTTCCTTTTTGGTTGTTCGAAGACAGACCCACTTTTATTTGCGTTGGTCTCTATAAATAGAGCCACCAAAACCATTTTTTTGTCTTGGCTCCCTTGGGGATGCTGCCCAATCAGGTTCTAGCATCTCCATCCAGGCAGCGATTGGCTGATTCAAGTCTGCTTAAGCCACCTTTCCCCCTCCATCTGCCTCGTCAATGTGGGCTGTGATTTCGGTCACCTTCGATGTCCAGGCCGCGCTGCAAATGCCTGCATCAGCGCTACACCGGTCGTTAATTTGGCCTTCACTGATTGGTTGTAAATGAGCATGGCTCATTTGCACGCCCACATTTCCCACCGGCGCTGCCGCCACAATAGCTGCAGCCGGTCCTCAGCATAACTCTTAGCTGAGTGTATGCATCCTATTCTGCTTATCGACAATTTCGATTTGGAAAATTAGCTACCGTCGGCTATTATACTGCAACAGACCATTCTAAAACGCCTGCCACAAACGTGGTACGTGGACCGCGTTTGTGAGCAGTGCTCAGGCAGTAGTGGAAAAGGAGTAGTGCGGGTAGCACGTAGGCTTTATTCAGCGTGGCCTTGGAAACTTCTATGGATCATGAGGAGCTCTGTGTCTTCGCAGCAGCCCCTAGGCATTGTTCTATCGATAAGTATTTGCTAGTGGACGTAGACACAATGTAAAATTTAAAGTTGGCTGCCCAACGAATTGGGACTCTCGTTCATTGACCGACCCATGCACCGCTACATGCCAGGTCTTTCTGGAGAGGAGCAAGATTCATGTCGCACAGGACAAAATATATCATCCGCTAACAAAAAGCGGTTCAAAAAGCCACTTCGAGCCGATCAGTCGCATATACTAGAAAAAAGACGAAAATACCGAATATCCCCGAGGAACCCTGGTGTAGACTGGCAATCCAGTTTATGCGGCGCTCATAACAGGCACTTAGAAAGACCCATTGGAGAGAAAATTACCGACCCAATTTACTGTATTATTAACCATACAACAGGACTGAAGTTTTTCCACCAGGCGTCCATGGTTAGCCGTCGGATGCTTTGCTGAGAAAAGGCAAGGCGCTTTCGACACGTCCAGACTGGTTAAGCATCTTGCCAAAGTAGTCTACCTTGTAAGTATTCGCAGCAAGGTTATGAAAATTAAAGACCGGTTAAGTCCGAGAAGAAATCTGGGGTGCTGTATTGCATCCCGTGCCTAAACTGTCTTCGTAACTACACAGGTTAGACTGCACACATGGTCGGATCGCGCGTACATGAACATAAGCTGACTTTGAGACGAGACGACGAATTATGACAAGTGGTTGCCTACTTGTCATGAATTTAACATCGCAACCTCCAAAATAATCGCCCACGACGGAAACAAAACAGACCGGGAATTGCTTGAAGCCCGGACCTCGGATGAGATCTCTGTCAGCCGATTTATCGATCTGGCGCCGCTATACAAAGCCCTGAGCAGTCACCTCCAGTCCTGCGGCATCGATCGTAACTGCCGCCCCGTAACTGTCACTCGTTGCTATTGCTTTGACGATGAACTCCTGCACGAGTTCGGAAGATCACATCAATTAACAAACTCTTCGTGCTCAAACAGTCATACATACACCTTGAACCCGAGCTTTCGCCTCCATTTGTGGTTTTTTTCATTTCAAGCTCAGCGTTGTGAATGCTGGCAATATGATAAATCCAGAAATGTACGATGGGAAGGATGAGGCGTAGCTAACAAACAGTTCGGAAGAATTAAATACGACCTTTGGAACGAGACATTTATTCGCCTCACGTTTCGGAATGTGGCTCTTGGTTTTTATTGGCAATCTCTCTGGGTGCGACGCACTCCACTTGACTTGATGGGAACAGTTATCCTTCGAGAGTCGTCCGTCTATGTGCGGATTCGGTTTCTGTACAGGTGTCTCGGCATTATCATGCTGTCGAAATGTGTTTCCCACGAATCCCCTGTAAAAAGAGAGCTATCGAGACGCACGAGTTTTCAACATAACAAACGAAGTATTCGGGATCGCCACTCGAGACCTCGCAAGTACCGCCAGAGGATTGACTAAGAGAAGACCAGATGCTGCAGGTTCATGAGCGAGAACGATATAAGACTGTCTAAGCAGAGGGTGACTGAACGAGTCTGCGTGCACTGAACGATATACTGCACAGCACTGATGAAACGTCATCCGAAAACGACAAACTGGTATACAACCCCCCCCCCAAAAAAAAAACTTCTTGACGTTCCCATTTACCACGAAGATTGTGGTGGCCTAAGAACCAGTTGTCAGGAAAGCAGCACGTACGACGCAAGCACTGAGCTTCAACAGCAGCCAGCCAATCAGCCACAAATACAGTTAAGTATAATTCAGTATGTATAAGGGGTATAGGCAGAGCCTTGTAAAACCCTATTTACAGATAGACGTTTGAAAAAAATGCAGATAGTTACATAACAGTTATGCCAGTCATTGATATCGCGTAAATGTTTGACCATCACCCATAAATTTATCTAGTCTTCTTTTGGAGGTCTCAAAGTTTTCCGCTAAGACAACGGAGTTCGGTAATTTGTTCCATCCTTCAACCAGACGGTGGGAGAAGAACTTGGCCTGCAATTCGAGTTTGGCATATTTTAGCTTCAATCTGTATTGGTGGCCTCGAAGATTGGTCGCTCGCGCCAATTCGAAGAAATCGTTAGACTGAGAAGCACAGTCTAGCCCTCGGACGATCCTGAAGGTCATGGTCATATCCCCTCTATATTGTCTATAAGAGAGAGGAAATATTTTTAGCTTTTCTAGGCGTCTCACATAAGGTAATCTACGTAATCCGTCGACTAGCTTGGTCGCTCTTTGTTGCACGTTCTCCAGTAGGGTGTAATCTTGTTTCGTCCAGAGACACCATGCCTGAACACAATATTCCAACATTGGTCGAATAAATGCTCCAAATATTCGGCCGAAAAGTTCTTCGTCAAAATTGAGGAAGGATATTCTAATCGCGCCTAGGATACCCATAGCCTTGTTTGATAACTTGGCGCAGTGAGACGATGGTTTGACAGTAAACACCGAGGTCTGTTAACTCGTTGACTGATTCGAGTTAGTGACCTCCTATAAGGTAGTGAGATTCAAATCTCAACAACCTCCTGTTGCTCGATCGTAATCGCGCTATATTGGAGCGCCATGACACAATGCAGTGAACGGGAAGGAAAAGTTTCTGAATTAAAATATCTTCAACGGGTGCTTAGGGCGAATGGCTACTGCGCAATTTTGTCAGATGGTTGTGGACAAACGAGACGAGGCCGCACCGACGCTGACTTTTGACCAGCACCGCGAGGAGAGCGCTGTCGAATGCCACGGTATCAGCAAGCCAAAACGCTGAGTAATTACCACGCCAGTAGTTAACACCAGTGACGAAATTACGGCAATTAACGACTCGGGCATGGACGGGCGAGCAATCATCGCACCAATTACGACCACCGGCGATGAATGCGAGCGATGCCAATTGTGATATGTATGTCTCGGCATGACAACTTCATCTTGTAAATACTGCGTCCCTTTTGTGTCCATCAGCCCTCACCTGCGACTGTCTCGGATGATGAATTCGAATCAGAATCCATCAATCACCTCTCATTCTCCCATAAGGGGTCTCATATCTCATGAAAAATTAGTATAGACAAGGTGAAAGTGTAATTCTGCATAAGAGTGGGTCCACCCAATGTTGATGAACGCATTGATCTGTTCTTTTAGCATTTATGTAACTTACATTGAGGGGGAGGACGTTCGAAACTAAGACCAGTTAGAAATATTTCGACAGTTATTTGATTTTCGCTGATTTATCACGGGTACTGTGTGGATTCTGACGTAATCACTGTCTTCTCCATTGAGGTCAGACATGCACACATTTCGCCAACGCTAAAATTTAATGCTTTCTGCCTTGTCAATTAAGAAGCAGTTTTCTTGTAGATTTCGGTACACCCTTCATAAACGTTCCACGGAATCCTCATTATTTCGTTTAAGACGAAGAATGAAGATAATATCAACCGAAAAATCGAAGACGCGGGGAGGGGAATGTGGACTGTCACTAATACTAAACTTTTTGGAAGTAATAATTGAGATGATTTGCTTAGACAGCCGAGAGGTAGTTTCTTCGTAAGTTTAGGTTCAGTTTTCACCGTCGTTCCACATCATCATCATCATCATCATCATCATCATCATCATCGTCGTCGTCGTCGTCGTCGTCCCCATCATCAACTCTATCATTTCATTTAGGACAAATGATGATGATTAGACGAACGGAAAACAAAAGACGGCGGGAGAAGAAGAAATCATTGTAACAGCATGACAAGTTGAAGTAGTAGTAGTAGTAGTAGTAGTAGTGGTGGTAGTAGTAGTAGTAGTAGTGGTAGTAGTAGTAGTGGTAGTAGTAGTAGTGGTAGTAGTAGTAGTAGTAGTAGTAGTAGTAGTAGTAGTAGTAGTAGTGGTAGTAGTAGTACTAGTAGTAGTAGTGGTAGTAGTAGTAGTGGTAGTAGTAGTACTAGTAGTAGTAGTGGTAGTAGTAGTAGTAGAAGAAGAAGAAGAGGAGGAGGAGGAGGAGGAGGAGGAGGAGGAGGAGAGAAGGGAGGAGAGTCAGGAGGGTGCCGAGGATGATGGGGAGGGGTACAGCTCTATGTAAAGTGACCATGCACTGCAGAGAACGCTCTATTGCGACGACGATGATCACTGTTTAAACTAAACTGGTCGCCCGGTCGGGTCTGGTCACATTTGGGAATCAAACGTGATGACATTCGAGTCACGTGTATTGGTCCCCAAGGTACATGAACCCTGGGCTGTCAGCAATTTGGGTTATGCACTCACAAATATCATTGTGTGGTTGCTGTTTCTTGCGTAGGATCTACCTCTCCACGTGTTGTGGAAGTCTTCAAAACTATCTTACCTGCCAAAGACGCACCAACCTCCAAGGATTATAGGTCAGTCCAACGCCTCTTTGCGGTCTAACGCTTTGTGCGCAGATCTACGGGCTCTTTGTTCGTCACTGCATTTCGTGACTACAGTGAGCGATGGTGGTGATCTACGTGGGGCTCAGAAGATGGCCGATCGTCCATTGGCATGCTACCCACGAGGTCGGTTTGCGTAAGTTGACGAATCACACATCCAGGAGCTCACCAGCGCGTGGACCGTCTGAACAGGGAGGATGGTTATTCCCGGCTAGCTCGTAAGTAAAACAGTAGTCTTGTGTACATTGTAAAAAATGGGCGGAAGGGATCGGATATACGCCCCCTCCCCAAACTATGGAGTGAGGCTGTCGAGATTGGTCGAGAACAGGAAGCTTCACAAAGCACAAGTCAAGGATGACGGATTCAGTTGGAAAAGCTGTACCGGGGCTAGAGAGAGTACAAGAGACTCAGCAACTAGCTTAATCTAGTCGGTTAACCAGGCAGGTGACAGCCATTGAGATTATTAACCGCCCAGCACGTTCATTTGGGTCTTGGCCGCCTTCAGCCAATCAGCGCATAGCTCAGCATCGATTGGCTCGGAGCTGTCGCAACGCTAGGGTCAAACCCTGAGCGCAGTTCGAACGGTCTATCGACAGGGGACGCGAGGCCGACAGAAAGGCTACGAGATTAAACGGCCGCGCCGGGGATCACGAGGGTAGACTGTCACAAGGTCACTTGTAGTACGGCAATGTTAGTAACTGGGATTTTAAAGGTGAGGCTCTTCAAGGCAGGAAACAGGTGCGACCAAAACGCCAGTACTAGGAGGTCAAGTCTTAGTTAGTAGAAGAAGACGAAGGACCCTAGAATGGGGAGGTTTACTGTGTTCAGAAGACCAGACAGCAGTCAATAAGCCTCTTATTCCAGTGGCCATATCTTCCTATTCTGAACTACAGTGCGTGACCGATTTCATGAAATGTAGGCCAAAATTCTGGAATGCGTTTCCGATTAGAAAGGATTACTTAAATGGGGTTGCTTGATTATCATGCAGCATAACCCTATAACATTTCGGACTGGCCAGGATGCCGGCTTTCGAATGCACTTCTTTTTGACCTCCTACAGAAACGTGGCTCGGTAAAAAAATGACTACTTAAGTAGCATGCATTTTTCCTATGGATTTTCGATGGTCTTATAAATTCAAATATATTTTACAGAAAACACGCGCAAAATATGATTTATTTTGCTCATTTTGAAGGAAATCACATTGTCTTCATATTTTATGCCCGAAAAATTGTGAATTTAGGTTTTAAAAAAAGTTTCCCAATTCCCGAATAATGTTCAGCCTGATGTGCCATTGCATCAGCGTTTAGCAATTTCAGTCTACAAGGTGCATGCTTTCCGCGTAAGGAAAATCATATATTCCTTTATGTCTTCAAGAAGAGACCACATAGAGTTCATGAAATTTTGCAATGGATCCGGACTGTCTTGTATATTTTATGAGGAGCATTAATAAAAGGACATGTGTGGTCTTACATGCATAGACATCGCGCGGTCTTAAGAAGCTCATAATTAGAAGCTTTTTTAAAACCTAAATTCACACTTTTCGGGCATAAATTATGAAGACAATGTGATTTCCTTCCAAATGAACAAAATAAAGCATATTTTGCGCGTGTTTTCTGTAAAATATATTTGAATTTGTAAGACCATCGAAAATCCATAGGAAAAACGCATGCTACTTAAGTAGTCATTTTTTACCGAGCGTGGTTTCTGTAGGAGGTCAAAAAGAAGTGCATTCGAAAGCCGGCATCCTGACCAGTCCGAAATGTTATAGGGTTATGCTGCATGATAATCAGTATAGCAACCCCATTTAAGTAATCCTTCCTAATCGGAAACGCATTCCAGAATTTTGGCCTACCTTTCATGAAATCGGTCACGCACAGTACTTCATGGAACTCGCCACTTCGCGTCTATCTCCACGGCAGTGGCCGTTAACGAGGCCCTGGCATATGTTGACAGTGTCAGGTCATACCTGATAGACAGGGCTAGCGCCTGTGGTAACTGCTAGTTTTATCGGTTCGTAGAGGTAATTTAAAATGTCTTGTGTTCAAGTTGTGTGCTGTGCGATACGGGGTAGGCACGACCCTGGAGTGCTTCACTCGGTCAGACTGGAGTAAGATCAGTGCGTCTGGAACCGCTCGCAGGGATGGGGACCAAGCCTGACACAGCAGAGCGTTCAACAAACATCTGTTAGGAGGGGCTGGAGCATGACGCACCAAACCGGAGGACAGTGACAAACGGCAAATTGGATCAGGATGGTGGCATGACTTTACAGAAAGTTGAAGCAGTTTAAAGCAGGTGCACACAGGAGAATTTACTGATAACAACAACGTCACAAAGGTAGTTTATTGTTTCGGCTACGAGTACATTAGTAAACTGTGATGCTACGTCTAATGATAGCATCCTCCGTCCGTCAACGTTAATATCCTTGATCGCCCCGACTAACTCGAAGGAGCCCTTCGAACTTATAGGGCACGGATGACTTTGTAGCGGTTTAAGCTTTTCGACTTGTCATTTTGCTATGGTGTGATAGGGCGAATTCCTCATATCCAGGATTGGGCATGGGGGTAGCCCGTGTTTGGGAGGCCGTACATTCTGGGTATGGCCGTGCCTACTGGTCTTAGTCGCTCAGATTCTTTGTCAGAAAAATGACCTTCTTTGTGAAGAACTTTGAGAACCGCCGTCAGCTGACACGGTGCACACAAAACGTCCAGTTTCTTTGCAATGGTCAGCTGTACAGGCAAATAGACGCCGTAAGGATGGGCTCACCGCTCGGCCCGTTCCTCGCAAATGTCTTCATGGGCAAAGTCGAGATGACAAGTTTACAAGACACTATTAATGACCTCAACTTCTACGGTCGGTACATGGACGATATTTTCTGCCTGACGGATGTTACCACCGACACAGACGCCCTGGTTCAAATATTCGACAATGCACACCCCTCGCTAACGTTCTCTGCAGAGTTTGAGGTATACAACGAAATCGCGTTCTTCGATGTTCTTCTGCACAGACAAGAGGATGGATCTATCTAGCGTAGGGTATTCCGAAAGAAAACCTGGACGGGACAATACATTAATTTTCACAGTTTTATTCCCCTAAATATTAAACGCAATTTGGTCCAGAGATTGGCAGCTAGAGTGCGACGTATCTGCTCTCCTGAGACTGTTGGGGGAGAACTCCAGCAGCTGCGGGATGTACCCCACGAAAACAGATACCCAGAAGGATTTATCCTCCGAAATATAGGGGAGCGCACGGCAAAGCCCACATTAGCAACTGCAGGAAAGAAAGACTTATTTATAAGACCGCCTTTTCAGGGGGACGCAGCAAGTGACCTAGTAAGAAGACGTCTGAAGACAGCGATCACTAGCGCTTTCCCGCAGCGAATTTACGTGTATGTTTCACGAATCCTCCCCTCCTACGCTTGGGAGGTAAAGACCGACTCCCTTTGCAGGCCATATCGATTTGTGTTTACTCATTCACTGGCTCCTGTGGAGCGGGATACATTGACCGTACAAAGAGGTGCATGGAAAAGATAGTACGTGAACACATATCGGCCTGGCTAGGCAGAGGTGAAAAGAAATCGATCTCGAGTTCTGTTCTCGCACATCTTGTCGATACGAATCAGCGAGTCGATGCCAAAGAAGCCTTTCAGGTTGTCTACCGGACACCAGCAAGCTTCTTCAGAGGCCTACGCCAACGGGTGCTAGCTACAGCCGAGACAGTGGCTATACGGCTAGCCAATCCAGTGCTATGTTGTCAGAAGATGCTGACACAGGCGTTCTGTCTTCCGTGGCTAACGCCGACCCCAGATGATGATTGCACGTCGCTCCAACCTCCTGATGGTAGTGGTGTGTGTACAACGTAACCGACGTACAAACATTACTCACAGCCTATGTCCCCCCTCCCCCTCGCCCCCTTGACCCAATGACCACGACACGCCGACCACGCCATAGCACGCCTCGCCATGCGAGTAGCGTGGGAACGATGAGTGTTAATAACCCCTGGATCACTTATAAACCCTGTAACTTCGCATAATTTTAACTTCATTGTAACTGTTTTGGCCTGCTGACGAGTTACCGAAAACAGGTGTTTGCCACATTGACTTTTCAATCTGGTATCGCTTTAAACGAATTCACGCGCAAGTCACCGTGCCTGTTGCAGGTGACTGTGCAGCACACTGTAGACGTCGTCTGAATCGACGGTCAAACTGTCGGGACTCCTTTCCATAGCCTGGAGTTGTCCGAAAGTCGCCAGTGTTGCTTAGATGCTCGCTAGCGGAGCCAAACGCATCCGATAGCAGAGATAGAGAGAGAGGGGGGGGAGCAGGGAGAGAGAGTGAGTTGAGATTAGTCAGAACGAGGTCCGCGGTAGTAGGTGCTTGATAGTTGAGTCTAAGGTAGGTATCTGGGTCATCAACATGCGCCAGACAGATGGTCCAGACAGACAGACATACGTGTGTTGACAGTAATCGCCCGGTAAATTCTATTGGTGTATCAGTTACTGCCACAACTGTCCACATCTATAACCCGTTTTCGCCCTGGGCTGACATTAGTGTTTGGTGCAAACCGCAGACCTGGGGATGACAAAATAACACTCCCAGGGTGATAGGTAGGTGAGACGCCGGCACACAGTCTGTGTTTGTTAGAGGGCACCACAAATGTAGACAGAAGTTACAAATTGGCACCACTCCATCCAACCGCATCAAGATGTTTTCGCCTTCCGTTTAACGGCAGCCAAGAGGACAGCCAAAAACAAAAATACCTATTTTGCAGAGACGTTAAGTGGATGAGGGTATGGCATATAGCCCCCCTGAGCGGCAGTTTAAGCGTCTACCTTCTTATCTTCTTTGAGTAGGTGTGGTCATAACGGTTTGCCTAGTAGTAGGTCGCGAATGGGGTCTGTCAATACGCGGATTTTGACCTTCATCAGTGGTATTGACGTTTAAATTACCCGGATCGGGCTCAAGGTCAGGGCTAGTGTTAGGATTTGGATTATTCTTGGGACTAGGGTTGCTAGGTCTTGGTTATGTTTTGGATTCGGGATTGAAGCTAGGGTTGGGGCTTTTGGTTTACGGTCAAGGTTTTAGGATTCGGACTGGTATTCGAGTTATGGTTCTAAGGCTTGGGTTAGGGTTACGTTCGAGTTTTTCTTAAAAGCTTGCGGGTTAATGGTTCAGGCTAACCATTGCAGACATCGGCACGGCTGGTGCTAGGGTTGTAGTTAACTGCAATTTTTCCGGTTGGTTTACATACCATACCTTGCCATTAAGTCTTATGTGAAAAATCTTAAGCCAAATAGAACGCTTGTTCTCATCCATTTCACTGGGGATCTTCAGCTGACCCTAATGTGTAACCTTCTGGTACGACAAAGATCGCGATCACGGCCTGTGGGGGCTCAAGCGATGTACTGAAACCCTACAACAGCTGTCCACAAGTGTTGCACTGTGTTACCGTCTGAGAATGGACGAATGCACGCCGAGCTTGCACGTCAGGATCGATCACTAGTTGACCGACAGTCGGATGACCATGAGATCGTGCTGAACCACCACTGATTTACGACAAGTGCGCAATTCCAGCAGCATAACATACAGCTTTCTGTGGATTCTGGCACGAAAAATGTGCCTCTGTCAACTTTTCCTTCTTCCGAGCATCATTTGTGACATAGTTTTAATGATGAGTAATCCTTAAAACCCCCAGTATGATTCCTGCTGTATTTACTTGCCTTTTTTCGAATTTCAGGTGCCACAATGCCACAACGATAAGCGTGTAAGCATGCACTGTCCTCTCTGCTGGTACAGACAATGCCTGATTTTATATTGACCCAACTGTGAAAAACTCGGCGCCTCGGTGAGATTCGAACCCACGCAGTATGGAGGAGGCTTTAGCGCAGCCAACGCTCTAACCACCTGAGCTACGAGGTCCCGCCGGACGACGCGAGTTTAATCACATTTGGGTCAAGTTACCCGCCCAACCTACTGCAACGTCTGGAATCCACCAAATCTGATACAGTAAGTTGACTGCCCAAGCAGGATTTCCTAAGCAATTCACCTAGAATCCACCAGATGACTACCAGCCTCAAATAATTGATTGGCATTTTGGCAGATTTTGCATAATTCACAATGACCCAACTGTGAAAAACTCGGCGCGGGTAACTTGACCCAAATGTGATTAAACTCGCGTCGTCCGGCGGGGCCTCGTAGCTCAGGTGGTTAGAGCGTTGGCTGCGCTAAAGCCTCCCCCTTACTGCGTGGGTTCGAATCCCACCGAGGCGCCGAGTTTTTCACAGTTGGGTCAATATTAATTATTCAAAATCTGCCAAAATACCAATCAAATGCCTGATTTAATGTTCGCGTGTACATCCACTAGTAAGGCTATCTGTCAAGGTTATTGCTTGCAACACGAGCAATATTTGCGAACAGGACCTTTGGTGGCGCCTGTCGCGACGCTGCGCCTTTCGCGAATGTCTGCACGTGCGCACCGGGATTGTCTGGCATTCGCGCACTCGGCTTTCCAGCTGACCAATCAGATTCAAGGCCGATTCAGACGTGCCCTGGCCTAAGACGCTCTGACGCATCCCCTGACAGGGACACTTTGGGACGCCGCTCTCCCCAGCTGCTAACTCTTTTCAATCCCTTCTCCAGTTGTTCTGTACACAATACACAATCCTCCCAACCGGCGTCCAATTTCTTTTTCCATTTGGGACCGGGCCTGAAGGTCGTGCTAGCCAGGGTCTCTCTCTCGGCTTAGGCTTCTGCGATAGACCTTCCAACTCTTCCACACTGACAGTCTGATCACAAGCGACGACCTCTATCGCCTGCCCTAGTTGCGCAGCGTCTACCACATTCTCTCCTCCCTCACCAACACTGCGCTAATGAAATGACAAGTTCAAAACGACCGGAGGTGTGTGCGGTGGGTACAATGACTGACGAAGCTAAACAGCCCATCTACGCGTGCGACACGCGACCTGGTCCCACAACATGTGCCGGGCTTCTGTGAGGACGGTTCGAATCCCACATGGGCGAGATGCCGTAAGAGCCACAGTAGGAAAGAGCCATTGCAACCTGAATCGAAATCCTAGGGGGGAGGACTGAATTATTCCCTCAGTTGGCAACGCTCCAAATAGCAAATCTTAGCGCCTCGTGGTAGGTTCAAGCGTGACAGATGTGCTGTAGTGGAAACTGCGCTGATGTGTCGCGAGGATCGAGTTGTGGAAGTGCGATGGGTCGAAAAACGAGGATTCCCAAATCACAAGTCAGGGAGAACATAATAACATACTGCCTATATCATGCGCCGCTGTGCGGCTGCTGGTTGGGCTCGAGAGAGAGCCCATAAGGCACAACGGAACGAGTGAGTTCCGTAAGAACGATCGGTGAACGCCCCCTAACATTGTATATTCCCGATCGAAACCGACAGGGCAACGGGTTCGTCGCCCAGCGGTTAGAGGCGTGGACTTCTAACTAACAGGTCGCTAGTTCGAGCCTCGGGTGTTCCACAGTTCGGGGTTAGGTATGACTGGCTGATGACGGCTAATAAGCCAAAAATGGCCATTCCAGTCTCCCTTGTCTTTGTCGGTAATGCCGATAATAATAATGTAAGTTGCTGCAAAGTGCCTACTATTGGCCGCCGTTCGAGTGGGTCCATTAATGACTCGTCGTGGGTGTTGAAATACGTTAGGCCTCGCAGTGATGCCGGCACTGGGCAATAAAGCAGTACCGACGTCCTTCCCATAAGGACATACTAGGTATCCCCCTCGCATTCCAAAATCGCTGCTAACTCGCGTTATATTTATTGTGGAGGATAGTGGGGCACGGGAATATGAACCTCCCGCATTATACGTGGCTTTGCCATGAATTGCAGGGGTTAAGGTTAAGGTTATGCGGGATAGCGTTAGGGCTCAGCATAATGGTATTACTGGCAAAGACAAAGGAGACTGGAATGGCTATTTCCGGCTTATTAGCCGTCGTCAGTCAGTTATATCCAACCTCAATGTAAGGAACATCTGGGACTCGATCCTGCGACCTGTTAGTTAGAAGTTCAACGCCTCTAACCACTGAGCCACGCTGTTGTTGTCCTGTCGGTTACGATCGGACATATACAATGGTAGAAGGGCGCTCACCGATAATTTTTTACGGAACTCACTCGTTCCGTTGTGCCTTACGAGCTCTCCCTCTCAAGCCCAATCAGCGGCCACACACCGGCGCATCATATAGGCTGAATGCTTCATATTGACACAACTGTGAAAAACTCGGCGCCTCGGTGGGATTCGAACCCACGCAGTAAGGGGGAGGCTTTAGTACAGTCAACGCTCTTACCACGATCTACGACGCCCCGCCGAACGACGCGAGTTTAATCACATTTGGGCCAACTTACCCGCCCAACCTAATACAACGTCTGGAATCCACCAAATCTGATACAGCAAGTTGACTGTCCAAGCAGGATTTCCTAAGTTATTCACCTAGAATCCACCAGATGACTACCAGGCGCATGTAATTCATAGATATTTTGGTAGATTATGAATAATTCATATTGACCTAACAGGGAAAAACTCGGCGCCTAGGTGGGATTCGAACCCTGGCAGTAAGGAGGCCCCGCCGGACGACGCGAGGTGAATAACTTAGGAAATCCTGCTTGGACAGTCAACTTGCTGTATCAGATTTGGTGGATTCCAGACGTTGCAGTAGGTTGGGCGGGTAACTTGACCCAAATGTGATTAAACTCGCGTCGTCCGGCGGGGCCTCGTAGCTCAGGTGGTTAGAGCGTTGGCTGCGCTAAAGCCTCCCCCTTACTGCGTGGGTTCGAATCCCACCGAGGCGCCGAGTTTTTCACAGTTGGGTCAATATGAATTATGCAAAATATGCCAAAATATCTATGAATAGGCAGAATGCTATTAGGGTGAGGACTAAGAGGCTTAGGACTAAGGGTATTACTATAACCGAGGAGTAGGTACCTTCTAGAATTTGGCGCGAGGTCACCTACTGTACAGAGGTGTTCGTATTATCGTGTCCGACAGAGGAAGACGTCCGGTAGTCGTAGGTCCGACAGGTTTTTTACCACAGTCTACATTTTTATCTTTTCTTCCTGGATAATTTCTCCTCTACAGCTCCTGCAGTCATCATAAATGAGCACTTTTCGGCGACCTTGGTTTCTTCACATCTGGGCAACGCGGCGTATGTCTTCTTTCGACGACACCTGACTATCTGATTCATCAAGTCGAACAGTTTGTTTCAGCTACAAAGCAGGAGGAGGGAAAGAAGAAGAAGAAGAAGAAGAAGAAGAAGGAGGAGGAGGAGGAGGAGGAGGAGGAGGAGGAGGAGGAGGAGGAGGAGAGGCCTGCCTTCTTTCGCCGTCCACATCCTTTGTAGAATTCCTAATCAAGCCTCTTATTGGCAGGAAGGGAGTAGCTGACTGAATCGTGACGGTGTGCGTCCACTCTGCACGTAATCGATACTGACGCGACCGGAGGACATGGCCCTGGGCAGTAGCGCTGGCAGCAGGCGTTGCCTGCGCCTACATCAGGCGCGTCCATCACGGCCTGTACACCAGCCTCCTCTCCCCCTCCCCCTGCGCCCCATGTTCCCGGTACGCGTGCACGACGAACACGCGCTGCTTGTGCGTCCTGTCCCGTACAGGAGGTGGCTACGCCGTAAAGGTTGTCTGCGTCACCCACTACGGGGACAAATGTCCGGCATCTAATAAACACCGGAGGTTTTACCAACGACGCGGTGGAATTTGCTATTGAAGTGAGCGGAAACAATACTCGGTTCATGTGACGGTCGGATGTGGTTATGTAGCCCCACCTGAAGTAAACAAACCCCAGTCGCCTGTAATACGGGAACGGTGGTAATAGGGGTTTTTAAAGGCGGGCCGGGGAACGCACAGGCGACGAGGTCAAGTAGTATGCAAAAGAAAAGCTATTGGGAATGCGCGGCCGAACTTTGAATGGTTGAGAAATAGTTGCCCTAACCCCTAACTATAACCCCTAATCCTAACACCTAAACCTTACCCCTAGCCATAGCCCCTAACCATAACCCCTAACCCTAACTCTTAACCCCAACCCCAACAGTATTTTGTCCATAAGGTGGGGTTACCAAACCACATCTTACCCATGTGACTTCTTGTTGAGGCCAGTTCTCAGCTTTCATGAGACGCCAAGAGGTCTACAGCATACACCACTTCAAATCTGCTGAAACACGGGAACAGGCCGGATTCAATGTTTAGCTGAGAAAAAGGTCTCGCGCCATACCTGCAGGTGTGATCGTTGAATGTTGTTGCCGGCGACCGTCTTGATGGAGGAGAACGCAAGTTTGAGGCTCTAATATGGCGAAATTAATATTTCCTAAAACCTGGTAAAACCTTCACATTTAGAAGAAACGGTACTCCACCCGGAGAGTAAATGCGTTGATGTAAATCATCCCATCCGACAAATGGAAAAAAATGGGGAAGCAGACGATTACTCTCCATGACTACTGTCATCAGCCCCATCAGAACCAACCACGGTTCCCTCAGGGACACGGTTGGTGTCCTCCAGAACTGATCGATTCCATTCCCTCAGGTTTCCATCATTACTTTGAATAAATTCCTCAATATCCTGCATAGTTTTCTGTGAAGCTTCTACACAAAAGGCAGATTGCCCGTCTCCCATTTCCTCTCTTAACTCGTACTAAGAATGTTAATTCCTAGTCCAGATCTAGCGAAACAGCGACGTTCTAGTGTGCGCTTCTGCGAAACCGTGAAGCATAAAGCGGACGGGGTGATTTCCCACATTATGTCAACAACGCTTTTTCGAAGCCCATCAGCAAATTCCTTCTTTATTTCTACTTTCATCTGGAGGCTCGGAAAACAAAAGTGCATCTTTCGAGCTTAAATAATTGTAGTACTTTTTACGACGGCAAAAATATCTTAGTCAGCAGGCCGTTCACATGATGCACAATTGGTAGGATAAAATTCGTCGTGAGTTCTATGCTTCAATCAATCTCACATCAGAATGTTGGGCAGCGTGGCCAAGCAACAACAGTAGGTACCATCCAATTCGTCTGGGCGTTTCAATAAAAAAGCAGATTTTTCAAACCACTTAGTACAGGAGTGCATAACCATTAATGCAAAGTTTTTTTGTAGAATCTGAAGTACTTGCTACTCTCTTCCTCTTACGCAGACATCATGAGGAACCTGCGACTTTGGCACAGACGACAGTGTGGCCGGGGGACGCTTACCGATTGTTCTTACGGAACTCACTCGTTGCGTTGTACTTTACGGGCTCTCTCTCGAGCCCAACCAGCAGTCGCACAGCGGCGCATGATATAGGCAGTATGTTACTACCGACAAAGACAAGGAAGACTGGAATGGTCATTTCTGGCTTACTGGTCGTCGTCAGCCAGTCATACCCAACCCCGAAGTGTGGAACACCCGAGGATCGAACTCGCGACCTGTTAGTTAGAAGTCCACGCCTCTAATCACTGGGTCACGAGCCCGTTGCCCTGTCGGTTTTCGATCGGGAATATACAATGAAAGCGGGCGTTCACCGATCGCTCACAGGTCGCGATTTCCGTAGTTTTGAGCACGACTAGAATTACACGCCGAGGCTCACGTCTACTGTGGTAGCGTTGACGATAAAACCGGTCAACAACACGTCAACATGCGTTGCTTCAATTTTCAGGCTAACGTATCTACCCGTTCATTCACCTCTTCCAGTGACACAGGTGTATTACTGTCTGAACCTCATGAGACATCCGCCAGTATCGATATTGAAAACCTTGTGGAAGGGGAGATGGTCGACAACTTGAATGCGGGGAAGACAGTTAAACGGACAAGCTTTTAGCGAGACAGAGAGCGTACGGGCAGCAGTGCGAGCAGTTTCACTTGACGTTCTCACCAGGCAAGATTCAGCAGAAGGGCATGCATCCTGACTTCGTCTGACTGCGGCCAGTCGATGATGAGAAAAATATTGATCGACGTCATGGGGTCGCAAGGCGGAGGTTAAGCCACGTGCGTTGGGCGGATCGGAGGCGGCCTGTGTAGGCGGTGTCGCTGACGGTCATGAGAGCGATCAGCCGCAACCTCACAGTAGGTGGGCTAACTCATGAAATGTCAACCGAAATTCCGAAATACGTTTTCGTTCCGAAAAGATTAATTAAGTAGGGTTGTAAAACTGGTCAGCCTGCGACATAATTCTATAATAATTCATTTACCTCACGACGCCGGCTTTCGAACGAACTTCTTCCTAGCCGCATGCAAAATCAATACTCTGCAAAAAATGACTACTTACGTAGCATGCATTTTTTCATCGATTTTCGATGTCCTTAAAAACTCAATTGTATTTCATGGAAAACATTCATACAAATATTTATTATTTTGCTCATTCGGTAGAAAATTGCGTCTTCTAACAATTTTATACTCGAAGGAAGAGTGTAATTCGGTTTTTAAAAACTTTTCCAATTGCCGAATAAATTTGAACACGGCCTGCCGTTAAACTTGGATTCGGGGTTCCCAAACTACAAGCCGTATATTTTCCGCGTACGGAAAACCATAAATTTATCTACGGTATTGAGAGGAGACCGTATGGGGTTTATAAAATTCAGCATTAGATGTGAGCCATATTGTAAACTTAAGACGCCACATTAGCAACTGCAGAGACACGATGCTGTGTGAACAGGCATTTCACGGTCTTGAAAAATGTCATAATTAGGAACTTTTTTAAAAAACTGATCTATACCCTTTCTTTTAGTATAAATTTGGAAGAAGACGTCATTTTCTACCGAATGAGTAAAAGAATAAATATTTTTATGCATGTTTTCCATGAAATACAATTGAATTTTTAAGGGAATTGAAAATCAATGAGAAAAATTCATGCGACTTAAGTAGCCCCGTTTTGCAAAGTATATTTTTTGCATGCAGCCGGAAAGAAGTTTGTTCGAAAGCGGACATCCTGAGGTAACTGAATTATTATAGAATTATTTCGCATTATGATTAGTTTTACGACCATTCTTAATTAGTCTTTTCGAAACGAAAACGTATTTCGGAATTTCGGTTGACATTTCATGAGTTAGCCCACCTACTGTATGTTGGCTTTTCGAGGTGAAAGCATGGCTCACAGTCTAGCTGGGGCTCCTTAAGTCCTGGTACATACTATGGGCACACGGTACGCAATGTGATTTTGATTTTTTCCACGGCCTACGTTATTCCCCTAAAATGGGCCACGCGGCAGATGCTCTTGACCAACACGGGGGCTAGCTCGGGGTCCGGCAGGCGCTATTGGGCTGCACACGCATTACGAATGTCAACATTGGGGGTGTGGCGGCGCAATTGGTTGCAAGCTCACGCCGCGTCTCGGGATCCGAGCCGTATTCTCCCTCTCCCTCTCTCTTGGTGTAAAATCCTGCTCAGCGTACGTTTAGGATCAAGTGGGTGTGATGGTACGCCTGAGCGCGGGTTTTTGTCGCGCCGGCCACCTGCGCTCTTTCCCGCCTCCGGTCATCTGGACTTTGTCATAGGATCAGGCCTGGGAGCAGGAAGAAGAGGGTGCAGCAGATGCTGTACAAGTCTCCAAACACTTTGAGTTAATTCATGCGCAAATCATTGTCCATGCTCTCACCCTATTGTGAAGCACACGGTTAGCAACGACGTTCGAAGTGTCATGTTGTGACTTTTATGCTTGAAGTAAGAAGAGGCGGTAGCATTAGAGAATGTGCAGCACCCCAAGCCAGCTTGAGCCTTCTGCCTAGGGCATCCATTCTGTGCTAGGAGTCATGTGATCACGACGCCAGGGCGCAAGAAAGTGAGCACATTCAGTCCAAAGATAGCCAATCACAGGCGCCTACGAACTCCAGCGCCGACTTTCTGCAACGGCCCCCATTATCCTGGCCCCTTCCTGCAAGTCGTAACCACCCATGTTGCCGATAACAATGCCAGTTGTACGTTTCGCATTCACTCAGTCTAATTATTCTTCCTTCGCACGGATTTTCCACCCGAACTTCGGTCTGGGAAGGCAAAACTTGCAATGGCCCTACCCCGAGCATCCGTCGCAATGCTGGGCCTCTCGTTAGTGTCTCCAAGTGTGCACCAAGGCTGTCTGTCGTTCGTGCACTCAACTTTCCAGCCGGCCAATCAGATTCAAGGCCGAGTCACACGTGCCCTGGCTAAAGACGCGTTGGCGCTTTCCCAGACTCACACCCGGGGCGCCACTCTTCCGGCGTCGGAGGCACTTTCCTTTGGCTGTCAACTCCTTCCAATCCATCCTTTAGTTGTTCTGCTCAGAATACACGATCCTTCCAACTGATTTTCCACTTCTTCTCTTTCCGTTCGGGACCGGGCCTGAAGGTTGTGGTACCCAGGGTCTCACTCTTGTCTTAGGCTTCTGCGATAGATCCTACCAACTTGATGCCCCGTCTCCGGCAATTCATGCGTACACTTTCCCCGATTACGCCTAAGTCATCCGTCTCCGAGTCTCACCTCGAAAAAGACTTGGCGACATGCTCTTACGTCTTTCTCCGATTGGATCGAGTCCGCCGGCCACTGCTAGCACCGTACGGCGGCCCCTTCAGGGTTATCTTTCGTGGAACGAAGTCTTTCCCCATCCAATGCGGAACTCGCGAGGAGATCGTCAGCTTGGACCTTCTGAAAGCTGCCGTCCCGGACACTCCTCCGGATGAGCCCTGTGGTCCCCTACGTCCTGCTCCACCTTCCCGACCCTCTATCTCTCTGTCCTGTATACCTCCCCTTTCTCCATTTTCGCTACCCCGAACTGCAACTACCCTCTCATCAACCTTCAACCCTGTAGCCGCAAGACAGACTCTTCCCGTGTGCTTCCTGTATGCATCACCCGTAGTGGACGCCATGTTCATCTTCTTGACTGTTTCATTATCCATGTTTTTTAGACATGAACATTTTCTTCAACGTCGCTACCCGCTGCCTACGGTCGAGCCGGGGTACTGTGGCAGTTCGCGCCTCCTCGCTCTCCGTCGCTTTGTCATGCTATGTTCCTGTCCGCCTCACGCCCCTGTCGACCCGCTGCTGGGACCGCGCGTGGCTTGTCACTAGCCTCACGAGAGCTCGAAGCCAGTCAACACCACTCCTTCTCTGATTGTCTGGCGGACACTAACTGAGGCAGAGCGAAGTCGCACGTACGCACTGGGGAGCTAATGAGCTCAACGGCGGACATAGGACCGGAAAAGTCGCCTGCCAGAGGGAAGTGCCTCTGACGCCGGAAAGCGGCGTCCCAAATGCGGGTCAGGGAATGCGCCAACACGTCTTTGGCCAGGCCACGTCCGACTCGGCCTTGAATCTGATTGGCCAGTTGGAAAGCTGAGTGAGCAAACGCCAGACAGCCCTGTCGCGCACGTGCAGACACTTGCGAGAGGCCCAGCACTGGGACAGACGCTCAGAGTAGGGTAACTGCAAACGTGTTTTCTGGTGTAAGCCTCCCATCCTTGTACACGTAAACAATCCACTGCATTATAAGTCGGGAAATGGTAGACGGGCGCTCACCGATGATGGGTGATGGATGAGCATGTGGTACCGTCCTGACTTTCAGCCGGCAAGGGTTACTAAACCAAATCTATGTTTCATGTTTCTAAGGTGCTAGGAGGCAACTGATATAACGGTCTGAAGAAGGCGTCAACAGGGCTTGACGATGTGGAAGGCGATTGGAATAGTTGAAGTTATGGTACAGGGGGTTCCAGTCTGCAAGAACTCGTGAGAAGTGCACCTTCTATAAGTGTGGTTTGGTGAGGACGACGGAAAGACGTCAAGTCCCGGGCAAGGCGATTATTGGTTTGAACTGTCTGTTTTTTCCACGAATCCTTCGTCGGAGGTGCGGCGAAAACAACGCGACAAACAGTTTAAGTAAGAAAACAGTATAAGCGTTAACCGCCGGGCAGCAGTCGCATGTCCAGGAGGTCTGCAGTTGTCCCCTTTCGCGGTCCTCAGGGCCGCCGCTTGCCCGTGTCGCCGTCGGTTCGCCAAACGCGCGTGGCTCAACCTCCGGCTCGCGATGCCATGGCGCCGATCGATATTTCTCTCTTCATCGATTGGCCGCAGTCAGACGAAGTTCGGGGCATGCATTTGCCTGGTGAAAACGCTAGCTGCAGCTGCTTGCGGTGCTGTCTGTACGTCCTCCGTCTCAGCAAAGGCTCGTCTACCCTGCACTTTGATTTGGGAGAACCCAGGTTGTTGACTATCGTACATCGAAAATTCCGCCTTCCTGATTGTGTGAGTCTTGAGGGCTGGAATGGCGAGGTTTGTGGGCGTATACTAATCGATTCATGGCCGGGATCACCGGCGCGTCCGCCTACCTATGCTTGACAATGAAGGTTATACAACGGTCCGTGTCTTCCTTAACTTTTGATTTGGGGAACCTCGTGTTATTGACTATGTAGCGACTAAGCGGTGATGGTGTACGCTCAGTACGCCACAACTCCAGGCCAGATCCCAAGTTGTGAGAAGCAGGACGCATTTTGGTTAGGGCACTTTATTCTGTACAGAATAGTAAAGGGGAAAGTTGCCAACCGGACGAGGGTGCGTCCGCGAGAGTGACGAGCCCTGTGTCGTCGAACGTCGCTTCTGCAAAAGTGTAGTTGCAGATTGTTTACTCTATTGTTCTGGACTGTTCCCGCCTGTCTTACCAATCAGCGATAGGAGTTGCGTTGATTGGCTCCGAGCCTATGCGAGAGTAGTGACAAGCCTCGCGTGGTGCAGACAGTGAATTGCAACGAGACAAATCGAAGCCGGGCAGACGTGCGTGCCATAGCAGTCTGTCGCTAGAACGTGGGTGCAGGCGCTAGCGAGAGGCGTGACGTAGCCATTATGGCTGTCCACTATAACTATCGCACCCCCTCAAGTGGTGACCCCGACGTTATATGAACAAGCAACTTTCCTATCTAGAGTCAAGCTATCGAGCTCGATCAAGAATACTCACAGCCCTAGAGAGTAGTAGATAATTGGGATAATTGGATTTGGTCGCCTGCATCGGAGGCGAAATGCAGGTCGTCCGCGTGGCACGCGTAGGCGGGCTGTTTAGATATGTGAACCACCGCGTCAACCGCCACCACCCGGTCACCTTGACTCTGCCTTGCCACCGGAGCACTGCGGTTGGCATGAGAGGAGAGGATGCTGTCGATATCACGCAAGTCTGTTTCATTACAAACTAATTCACACGCAAGTCACCGCTGCATGACCTTCCTTTTTCGGCAACGGGGAGCGTTGATGCTCGTGAATGTCGGACTGTCGGACTTGCCTGGCAGGGACCTCATCCCCTCCTACCGCCCCCCATCGTGTCCCAAGGTCAAGGGGAGTGGAGATGACGGTTGAGGAGGTGGATGACCTAAAATGCAGCCTCTACTAGCAAGCGCAATACATGGGCCCTTCTCTCCATCCATATAAAGCAGAATATTCAGTATCAGTATCAGTATCGCACAGGGACATCATATTGACGAAATCCCACCTTATTGTCTGCAGTTCGCATCTAGACTCGGGAACAGAACTGTGTACGCAGGGTGGACAGAAGTTTACCTCATAAAACTTATTTCCTTCAGACAGCTATATCACTATCGTCGCAATCCCTGAAGGCTTCCGGAAGAGTACACGAGGTTTCCACAACTACAGGACAAAAATCCGTCGCTCGTTAGAGAACGATGTTTAGTCAAACTCTTGAAACTGCCCACAGGTCTAGTTTTGCTCGTTCATGTATGACATAAACGTTTCTAGAAAAATTTCAAGACAAACAATGTCGAATGTCGATCTCGTTGCGTCACTAGTCACTTTACTCCGGCCATCCAAAGATCCAGCGCCTCCTCCACACTATAACTCAAGCGTCTTCATAGTAATTAAATCGAACCAAATCATAGGGTAGATAAGTTGGATCCGAATGTGGTATTTAAACGCAACAAGGCCCAAATATTCCGAAAACATCCAGGCAGGCAACTCAAGCCTCGTGTGAGTACAAACTCTGTAGAGGCTTTGATTACGCGAAGCGTCAACAATCGCTGGAGTGGGCAACCTGATAATTTGATTAACGTCGCCACATAATTGCCGTTTTAGTGGCGTTTCAACTCCACAGACAAAAGCATTTGGCAGACTCATGCGGAAACACGTATCATGCTCCGCGAACAAGTCACTAAGCATTCATAGTGTGAACTATTATAAAAAAGCAGAACTCATTTGTTTTCCGTTAAGTGTCCTTGCCGTTGTTTTGTTTTGTTATTATGGCTGGTTGCAGCGTTCGGCCTCGTCAATCAGACATTCTCTTAGCAAAAACTAAGGCTACTTGACGTACTGGTGAAAGCCTACTACGGCGATGACGACTACCATTACGGTAGTTCGACGTTCGTAAGAGTGGAGGTCCGCCGCTACCCCAGGCGGCGGAAAGGTTCGCGGCTGCTGCCGCTGCCGCTACCACCACCACCACCACCACCACCACCACCACCACCACCACCACCACCACCACCGCCGCCGCCGCCGCCGCCGCCGCCGCCGTGGATGTCCTGCGGGCCTTTTGCGGTCACCGCTCTGTAAAATTGGAACAACTACCAATGAGAAGTGCCGAAAAGCGTCTAATTCGTGTCCGCCCGTGGCACGAGCCGCCATCATGGTTACAAGTTCAAAGTATCGACCGCATAGGCAGACTTAATAAAGTGCACTGCACGTGCAAGTGAGTCCTGGAGGTCACTTTAGAAGTGGCGGCCTTCGGGTGAGTCGAAAATTTACACAATAGTGCTGCCGTCGACAAGGAATGAAACCAGACAGTTGCCTTTGACTAGGACTGCCTGGAAAGTACGGTCTGGAACTGCTTTGTCGACTTCGAAAAAAAAACAATCCTGAACCCTTAAGTAATCCGAGACAAAATAAGTTTTTAGCAAACAGGCAAAAGCAAGAGAGTTAGAACGTTGACAGAGGTGATAGAGTGATCTCCAACTAACAATGGAAGGAGCAATGACCACCGCGATATGCAGACAGACAGATAGACACTGGCGATTCCCGCGAGCATTATCATATCGTTCCGACTGCCAATGACGCTCGCGGATGTTAGTTATTTTTTTCCATGCGTTCTGCGTGAGTCATCCACTGCCAATTTGTGCTTCTAGGGCCCTGTCGCAGCAGTTAGAGCCGTGTATATATCTTGAACACTACAGACCTCGGGTCAGGACCCCCAACAGTCGAAAAAGAATATAGGCGATATTATCGAGAAATCTGTAATTGTGGAGGTGCGTTCACCGATCGCGTTACGGGACTGTCGTGCGTGGGGCTCGATCTAAAGCTCCGCAGCGACTAACGGTACATACAGGGAAGAACTACTGACAAGGAGAAGGGAGACTAGGGTGGCCATTTCTGGCCTGTTTGCCGTCATCGTCCAACCATACCCCCCCCCCCCCGAGGTGTGCAATACTCGAGGCTCGGATCCGCGACCTGCTGTTCAACGCCCCCCTCCACTGAGCCACGGAATCCGCGTCGCTGTGCGACTGCCTACGAGGCTCGAGTTTAAGCCCCGTGACAGAGCGGGACGAGTAGATCCCGCGTCGAGTTTTCATTATACCCGATCGCAATCGACAGGATAACAGGCCCGTGGCTGACTGGTTAGGGTGTGGGAATTTTTCGGTAAGATGTGGTTATGTACATAATACTGCTGGGTTAGGGTTTAGGGCAGCAGTTATGGGTTGGGGTTCGGATTAAGGTTAGGGGTCAGGGCTTAGTGTTAGGGGCTAGGGCAACTATTTCTCAACCACTCAAAGTGCAACCGCGCATCCCTCCTAGGTTTTATTTTGCATACAATTGCTTGACCTCGTCGCCTGTGCGTCCCCCGGCCTCACCTGCAAAAAGCCCTATTACCACCGGTCCCGTATCACAGGTGGCTGGGGTTTGGTTGCCTCAGGTGGGGCTATATTACCACATCTGACCAATTTTTCTCAAGAGATCGAGGACTCGATCGCTAACGGTTTCAGACCAGGAATTGAGTACGGTTGGTTGGTGGCGGCTAAAAAGCCAGAAGTGACCATTCCAGTCTCTCTCTCTCTCTCTTTTTCTTTCTCGTCTTTGTCGGTAGTCTTACCCTCCGAAAGAAATGTGCATTTTGTTCAAAAGAGATGAAGTGCAGTTGGAACAAGCTTGATGACAAGGCTCACCCAAACCGCTTGGCTAGCGATGGGTGTTTTGGAGGGTTGGATAAATCAGGCCAGGCAAGCCTTCGGCCAGTTAAAACACTCCGTCAGGGCCGTCGTAGCACCCTACTCAAGCAGAAAACTGAAGATATGAGGGGCTATTGTCCTGAAAACATTCGTGCACGGGGCAGAGACGCATAAGGTTTATGAGAGTCAGGCAAGAAGACTCAACCGGCTTCGCCTCAACTGCCCCCAAAGAATATAGGGACCACGAAAGGATCCCATATGATGAGATTCTGGAAAGGGTCGGCGTCCTCAGTATCCATACCATGCTGGGACAGATATAACTGCAATGGAGTGGCCACGTTGTGAGGACGGACAATCGGTGTCTCCCGCGACATAGTCACGGGTGGTCGCAGACAAGGCAAATAAAAGCGTTGCTAAAATGACGTCTTTAAAACCTTATGAAGACACCTGCAAATACCTCCAGAGGCCTGGGAAGACCTCATTCAAGATTGACAGACATGGAGCACTGTCGTAATGACTAGAATGGCCATCTTTGGAGGCAACCGAATAGGCGCTGTAAAGGCAGCTAGAGAGACCAGCAGGACTCAAGTGCCATGGAACAATGACGCCAACACCCAAAGGTTGCAATCGTGTCCACACTGTCAGTGGACATTCTGGGCACGGATTAGCTCAGTTGGACACCTGCGGACCCAGTGCAATGTCATCAAGACTAACCGGTCTCTTGTCTCGCAACGCATCACCGCCACTGCCACCACTAGCGAAGCCAATGTGGACACACATGCCTTAGTGAAAACCTATAGTTATTGCCCAATACCACCGACAATGTTGACTCAAGTCCAACCTGCAACCACTGTGATCGCACTTCCTCATCGGACATTGGCTTGGCCGGCCGCTTGTGAATCCATCGTATGGAGACAGGTGAAACAGTGTCTGCAGCCCCGACACACATCCGTCACCAGTGCCAGATAATCGGTCATCGAGTGGGCCCATTCAGCCACGAACGCTTCAATGAAAATCTGCCGAGAAAGCAAAACCCCAACCCCCTACCTGCCCACACACACATCCCCTCCATTCCACGCGCCATAACCAGTAATAATCATACACTTTCGGGCGGCAAGCATGCGATCCCCTTTTCCGTCGCTGGCATGGCCATCGCACTGTTACATGTCGGTACATTCACATCTCACACAGGTGGGAAGCGCGCCCTTTGATTTATTCTGGTAAGGAGTGATCGGCTCGTGCGTGGTACGCGTAGACTGGGCGTCTAGCTCTGTCAGCCACTGCGTCAAATTTCGTCAGTTGACAGGCTCGGACAGTCGACTGATGCATAGGAGAGGGAAGAGATAGTTAGACTGACCCTCGGAAACTCATCCCATGCCAAGTCAACGCATTCCCCACTGTAAGAAATTTAACGCGAGACCCGAGCCGCCCCCCACGCAAGTCCGATGCATAATGTGGATGTCAGATCGTGCGTGGCACGCGTAGATAACCGTTCGGCTTTGTCAACCACTAAGTCCGACCTCCGTCTCCGTTTGTTCAACATCATCCCGCCCACGGAGCGGCGAATGAGGGAGGATAGAGTGGGGTGGATGCTGCAAGAGTTCGTCCCATTATAAACTAGTTCACGCGCAGGTCACTGGTGCTGCGGCCTCTCCACACGGTGGATGTCGTCCTTCGGATGAGCCAGAACATGTTCACACTAGCCTTGGATCTGATTAGTCTGTATCGACGGCCATGATTAGTTACGCACCATGCAGAGCCTCTCGATATCGCGCCGCTGTGCGGTTGCTGGTTGGACTCCATAGGGAGCCCCAAGACACAACGGGACGAGCGAGTTCTGTAACACGACCGGTGAGCGCCCATCCATTATTTTATACATCTGATCGCAACCGACAGGACAACGAGTCCATAGCTCAGTGGTTAGAGGCGTTGGACTTCAAACCAACAGGTCGCAAGGTCGAACCCTAGGTGTTCCACACTTCGGGTTTAGGTGTGACTGGCTGATGACGGCTAATGAGCACGAAACGGCCATTCTAGTCTCTCTTGTCTTTGCCGGTAATGTTACTCTGCAGGTTGAGAAACAGTATTCACCGGTATTTTTGAGGCCTGGCATCTCAAACCGCATTTTTGGCTAGCTATCTTCAGAAACAGGAGAACCCACCAAAATGCAGTGATAGCGGTCGGAAAAGGTGGAAGATTCACGAGCAGTAAGTAACAATTGAGAAGTTGAAATCAAAATGGCTGATGCCGCCTTGTGCTTTCTTAGCTGGCCTCAACCGCACCGAGGTAGTGAGCGAGAACGGTGGCTACCCGATAGGGCAAAAAAAAGAGTCGTGGCTGTCAGACAGTGTCCAACTAACGGCCAAGCCTACCGTTCATGGAGTAAGCACTTTAGCGCTAGTATTAGAGAACGCCGCAGGCGGAGATTAGGCAAAGTTGGCGGATGAGACCTATGGACCATAGTATTCAATCCGTGGACGTTGCAGGAGATTAGCTAAGAGGCACCATGGGTGATGTGAAGCAGAGAGCTGATAATGCGAGCAGTGATCCGGACATACTGGTTTCGGCTAGCAAACAGTCCGGAGCGGTCTGAAACCCCAGACCCCGAACGAACATATGTCGCGGAAGGTTGCTTCCTCTCCAGTAGTATAATCCATCACGAAAATAGCTACTTTGTTCGACACCTCACTACTTTATGCCATTTGAAAGTGAGCTTCACCAAACATGCAGGCAAAGCCTCCTTCGGCATGCCAAAGGCCGGACATCGTAAAAACTGAGCACCACAGGCACTTCGTCGTCGTGGTCGTCGTCGCGTTAGTTCAGTCATCTGAATCCCCAACTCAGAAATGAAGAGTCGTGCGTCCAGAGCGAAAATAAAGCAAACCGTTCGGTTTGTGCAACTTCCCTGAGAAATCATACCTCTTTTTCTAACTAATGCCGCCAACTCGTGAAAGGGCCGGTGTTGATGAACTAACCGGGTCCGATGCAATCGCAGAAAGGGCTTGCGAAACAGCAACTGCTTGAATTTGGATGATGTGTCTTGCCCAAAAGAAAATCACTAGGTTGCTGCATTCTTTCGCCATCCCTAGGAGTACTTTCATTCAACTGCGGAAACGCTACCCATTTCGGCCTCTATATTGCAGACGTGAGTAGGCAGGAGCAAGGCTGTGAGGAGGCGACAGAACGTTGTCCATCTAAATACCAAGAGAATTTGTATGACAAGGCAGCCCGACGTCTGATGTGGGCCAATCCACCAACCGTTTCGCATGGGATACGCACGCAGCTACAAGTAGTTCCCATGATCCGATTTATAGCAGAACCTGAGAGGACCATAAATTCGCTGAGCGCTGGCGGAGGTCAGAATGGCTTTACAGTGTCAGTCCAATGTTGGCCTACGTGAAAAAATAAGATGCAGATCGCTGTAGCAGCTTTAGGCATCGACGCACTAATGAATTAATCAAGGTAAGCTAATTAATTGAGGTAAGTAGGCGGTGTACCGCCTCCGCAACAAACAGAATGTCGGCAAAACACATGTCTGGAATCATTGCCAGCACTCGCATGGCCAATATGGTATCTCACGCAACCTGTGTATACCACTGACTCTGTTGACAATTTATGACTATTACACGGCTATCTCGCTGCAGCTGATTGGATTTCGGCCCAAATGCCCATATGAGCTCTCGGAATGATCTTACAAATTTCGATTCTGATTTATTTACTCCAAATTGGCGGTTGATTTCTGAGATTAAAAGTGGGTTGGGATGCGGCGACAAAATAACACGAATAAAAGGCCTTCTCACAACTGGGGATCATGCGGTCGTCGGGCAGGCGCACCTTTTACCAATGCGGACTAGAAGCCATTATGCTTGCATGAAGCGAACTGAGTACGCGGCCCCAGTGAAGTTCGAGACCACGATAGCTGACCCGTTAGCCGTCCGGTGAATTTTATATTGATTGCCTAGGGAATCCTCTCCGGGTAGTCAGCTTACAGTATCTGGATTGGTGGATTCTCTACGTCGTAGCAGGTTGACGGGTAACTTGACCAACATGTTCACGGCTCTCAGCCGCGGCCTCGTAGTCCAGGTGGTTGGCTGTGCACAAGCCTTGCCCCCGCTGTCATGAGATCGAATCCTACCGAGACCGCCGAGTTTCTTCTACAAATGAGTCATTCAAGTATGTCAAACATCCACTTTTCAAATACTTGTTAGCGGCCACTTAAATTCACGGTAAGATGTGCTTATACAGCCCCACCTGAAGTAAAAAAACCCCAGCCACCTTGAATACGGGACCGCCACCAGACGACTCAACGTCCATCTGCTTAACTTCCTCTTCGTACTTCCACCCTGCCTAAGCAGGTAGAACGATCGGAGATGGTGCATTTACCTCCGAGGAGATTGAAAAGCCGAGGCAAAACGAGGTATCAAGAACGTTGCTGTAATGTGGCACATTCGGCGAGATTGCAAATCTCATTAATTACACCGCCAAAATAAGGCATCAGTGTATGGGACGAGAATGCGTGAGGCAAAAAAGCTACAAACAGCGATGCTTCACTGTGTTAATACACCAAATACATAGAAAAAAGGAGTCAGAAACTGAGGCCGTCCATCTTCCTACTGATTGTATTTACACCGAGTAGACTGAGCAGCTGGCGTGCCTTGGCGCGAATTCTGGCCATTTCATCCTCAAAGTCAGGTCTTTTTACGAGCTCTGCGCAGGGAGATTGAAGCAAGCCCGGGGATTGGGTCAACAGCGCCAACAGGGTCTTCGCCAGCTCCACATGACGATCGCTTCGACCACCTGCCGTCGTCGACGTCGTCGCCGTATGCGTGGAAAGCACCTGATTGGCTAATCCCAGGTAGGAGTACAGCTCAGAACCCAGTTCAGCGCCATGCTGGACTCCACGGGCCCAGGCTGCATCCAGCTCAGGCTGACGATCGAGGGGGGTAGATTCGCTGTCGGACCTGGGGACATCCTTCGAGGAGAGATCGAAACCGGCCCTGTAGGCTTCTGAGTAGTAAGTCTGTTCAGCCAAAAAGATCCGCTCGAGGAAGTCGTCTTCGGCGCTCATCGGACAGGACCCACCCTCAGAGATGGCAGCGTGGAGCCCTGTTGAAAGAACCACAATAATGCGCGTAGGAAGATTTTAGGAAAGTTGTGAAAATAAAGTCCTGAGGTGGTGTTAAAGAGGCTAAAGGCACCTCGAAAAGGCCGATGCATGCTCGTTTTGTTAGACTAAATGGCCGGTGAAATATGTTCGTAGACCTTCGTAGTTAGTATTGAGATCAACACTACAGGTCCTCTCCCTACCATAGTAACTCGACAGAAAGGTAGCTCTGGCATACCAGAGCTAGCGACGAACCCATTGTAGGGGAGTGCATACCTACAGAGGGTAGAAAAATGGTGTTCGCGGACAGCGGTCTAATGTTAATTGAGTGGATCCAGAAAGTGCAAACTGTGTATGACCACAAGAGTTACCTGTGTGCGGTAAATGTTGGTCTCGCGATCCTTTACTGTGGAATTTTTTGTTCGCGACAGGTTTTTCCATATGGGGACACTGGGTTATAAAGCAAAAGGCAAAGTGTTTTATCTAAGACCCTTAGGGATGTCAACACCAATGGACTCACTATCTGGCCACGGAGGTCCCTTTCGCTCAAGGAAATGTGAAGAATGTTCGGTTAACACATGTAGCTTCCGTTCTGCGTTCTAGACTCTGGCTGCCACGAAGCTTAGTGGATGCTCACTGGATTAGGATAAACTGTGCGGGCAATGCAACTCGCTTTTCGGGTCTTTGCTGTCGCAATACTCCGAGCCACAGTGGGAGGGAGCCCTTGGACGGCTCCTTTTGAAAGAGCGGAGGATTGGTCCTAATTGCAAAAAGGGTCTCAGTACCGACGTAATTTTCATGCTCTTTGCAAGATCTCCCCTACTTAGTCTTCTCACACTTACGTCTAGTGATGAGGGGGGGGGGGAGTCAGCCGAGAAAACTGTTAACCATCTGGTAGGGGTGTCCGCTCTGGTTGCCCTATATGACGACAGTCTTGTCAGCATACATATGTCAAGCCCTGAGACAATGTCTGCCGTCCGCTATGGGCAAACAGGGCAACAGAAGGATGGAGTAAGAACATCCTCGCGGTCATCTGATCCCACAAAGGAAGGAATAAGCGGGGACAAATGCAATTCCCCCCTCTCAAGAGTCCAGTGTTGCCGTACACGCCCATGCCGTCATCTGAGGGGGGGGGGCGGAGAGGGTGAGGTGGTGAAATCTTATCGACAGAAGCGCACTTGGAACAGAGTCGAATAGACGACTCACTGGCAGGACTAACTTGGGTGGATAGAAGCGAAGAGACGAGTCCCAGGAAGTAGTCTTGAAGAAAGAGACACGATCGTTGGGACAAGACCTTAATTAGCCTGACGTTTCGGATTCCTGCTCGAACCCATCATCAGAGACAAAAGCAGATACGGCTGGTTCATGCGCAAGAGGCTGCAGTATTTATAGGATGCAGTCGCCATGCTACCGCATACCTATGAACATTCACGGCTCCCCCTCGCCCCCTTCATCCGGGATCGTCACACTTGGTGTGCTAATTGTTTGATGGCCGACATTCGCGTCGTTGATTGTTGCAACGTCATCACACCA